TCTGATGTTCTGCACTGAAACCGTGTCATCGCGAACGTCTAAGGTAATCTCCACGTACTGATCGTCGTCTTTGATTCTCATAGTGCTTCTTGTGCTGCTGCTGTGGCTGTTGGTCCTCTTGTAGGCGACAGAAGGTCCGGTTAATGGACCGCTGAAGCCGACTCTTTTGGAGCTTCCTGTGCTCTCTGCATCCGACCATGAATCTGCAGGTTTGTTTTCATGGCCCTCCATTGATGGATCTGGTTCTGAACTCTCTGTTTTTTGGCTTTGTAATCTCTCACTGCTAAACCTGTTGACAACTGTGACGCGCACACCAGGTGTTTGTTGTTATGCCTGAAAGACAGAAATAGGCTAGAAAAGTTAGCCATCAACAAAATTATTTTAATAGTGCCACCCCCAAAGGGTAGTTTGGGCTTTTCAAATCTTATTAGCTACAATTATTCAAACACTTTATTCATTTTCCCAAGAAAGAATCATAGGATAAAGCAATACAATCATATTCACAGGACTCTGCACTGGGAAAAATGGGTAAGAAGCTCGTGAAAATCTACACAGTAATCGATTCCTAGAGCTGTGACTATGGGCAGGAAGAAGGGAGAATCAATAGAACACAACAATATTGGAAAAAGGCCCAACAGAGGATTAAAAGAACACTAATGACTCAAAACAAAGAAATCAAGAACAGTTTGAATAATCTGAGCTGACCTTTGAGTTCTTCCTTTGGAGTTCCTGAAAGATCGAATGGATGGGGTATATAGGCAATCTTTAGTCGGTTTTGGTGGAATAGAAACAGGGGAATTAGTTAAAACCTGAAGAGAAGGGTGGGAAAGCTTGTGAAGTTTGAAGCTGACAAGGGAAGAAGGGATAGAGCTTTATAGTCCAGGACTTAAAAGATGAGAGGAAAAGATTATTCAAAGTTAATGGTTTAATCTAGGGGCGCATCTGGGTTGTCTTGGAGAGAGTGGGGTTGTTGGCCATCAAGCCTGTTTTCTTCTTAGAAGAACTTTATTACATAATATATCAAACTTGGTCAATCCTGTCAAACAATATTAAAAATTTAACCAACGGAGGGAAAACAAAGAGGAAATGAACCCAACTTTACTCTGTGGCCTTCCTGTTAAACTCAATTAACCGACCACTCTCATGGCCTAAAGTTAGAACTGTTGGGGGTGCGAAAGTAGCACCTATTTCTACTAAGACGGTGTGTTTTGAGTAAAATCACAAGCAAAGTCACGAGGACTTTGCCAATAATATTATAATATTGTAGAACAATGGAGACGTCTATTGTCCCTAGCAAGAATGGGAGAATATGGATGAGTCCGTACTTCATAATCAAAGCCAAGGTAGAAGAAATAAAACATTTTAATATTATTTTGATCCAGTTTTTGTACTTTTCAAATGTCTATTTTACTCTTTATACTTTCAACTTTTTGTTCTAGCAATTGTATTTTGAAATGTCCACTTTTTTTAAAATAATCATTTTATTCATTTTATTTTTACTTTTATCTTATTTTGATTGTAATTTTATCACGACACTTTATTTATTAAATTTCTTGAAATATTATCATAAATTTGTATTAAATAGTTTACATTGTATAAAAAATTTGTGTTAAAATTTCTGCAAATGGTGTCCAAATTGGTTATTTTTTAAAGTACAAAAACATAAACGGATATCTCGAAAATACACAGAGTAAAATGAGAAGTATAGAGACAAAAATGAAAAAAATTTTACATATAATATTTTTTTAATAAAATATGTACACATACACGTTGCTGGATCAATTTTCTTCATGCTTTGAGGGGCCCTCATTTGATAGATGAGGAAAATTTTCCTACTTGCTCCCATTTTGAAGATAGAAGGTACATTTGTTGATCACGGAAGACTAAATCATTATTTTGAATCTCTCGAATTCTTCTATTTAGTACAATATGTGGGGTGGGCGGTCGAACTTACAACCTCGTTGGAGATATATGTCAATTATTGTTGAGTTATGTTCGTTTTGGTTTCAATTTCTTGAATTTTATTGTTTATTAAAGAGTATTGCTTAAAATGATATGATAAGGTACGGTTTTGTTAATATTTTAAAAAATTAAAATTATAAATTATTTTAATTTTTCTAACTATAGATAAATAACTATTAGTGAAATGAGAATATATATATTGTGCTCACGTTTATTCTTATTTTCATCTCCCACCCTTTCATTTGAGTATGAGAATGTTTTTAGAGGTGGGATCATTATAAATTTTGAAAGTAGATAATATATGTGAAAAATGTATATAAAAATAAAATAAATTTTGTTTATGTAGAATAGTTTCATTTTAAAGATCTCTATCTATTCGAACATCTAGTTTGTGTCTATACTTCCAACTTTTGTTCATTTAATTATTTTATTTTCAAAATTCATTTTGGTCCCTGAATTTTCTTTTTTAAATTACCTATACCGTCATTCCTTCCTATATATATATGGTACATTTCTCTGATTAATTTATAGTTTCCTACTTTTCAAAATTTATAGCATCATTCTAAGTGGTAAACGAGGACTTTAATTTTCTTAAATTTTGGACAAACGAATCCTACATAAAATATTTCTCCCATATGTCCGTATGTGTTGCATTAAGATATTAGAGTAGTTAACTAAGAATAATACTATTCAATTAAAGATTAAATATACAATTATCAATTTTATTCAAATACTTTCAAATTTTCAATTTCAGTCTCTGGCATTTTTCAGAATTTAGAGTTAAACTTTATCTCAATAACATCATTGGAATCAAGTAATAGAACAATGACATGTGTATTCACTATTTTGTAATTTAATTTCAACAGTATTTTCTAATAAGGATTTAATGGACAATTTTTCAATAGTATGGAAATGGAGATAGAAATATTTGGACCTATTTGATAACCATTTTTTATTTTATTTCTATTTTTAAAAGTTAGGCTTGATTTATATAATTTCTTTGCTATATTTTTTCAAAATTTCTTAAAAATATATTTGAATTCTTAGTAAAATTTAAAAAACAAAATTAAGCTTTTGAAAAATATGTTATTTAGTTTTTAAAAATTAGCTTGGATTTTGAAAATGTGAAAGAAAAAAAAAAGTAGATAACAAAACAAAGAAATACATAAGTGAAAGCAGAATTTCTTGACTTAATTTTAAAAACAGGAAATTAAAAAACGAAATGATTACCAAACTAGGTTTATGTTTCATTTGATACCAATTTTGTTTTTTTGGTTTTTTTATATTTAAAACCAAGGTTATGAAAACTATTTATGCTTCAATCTGTTTGGTTTACTTTTTCATTTGTTATATAAAAAATAAGCTAATTAAAAAAAAAAAGTAGAAATTTCTCATCACTCTTGAAAAATCTGGTCAGGATTTGAAAAATGTTTTAAAAGAGTAGATTAAAATAGAATAGAAAAGAAAGATTGTTAGTAAATAAACACAATTTTAAAAATCAATAAATAAAAAATAAAAAAATGTTATAAAATGAAACAAAAATTGAAAAGATACATATATTTTAACTTTGAATGAATGGAAATTACATTAATCAAAAGGCTTTCTTTTTTAGCGTGAATGATGTAAAAGTCAAGATAATATAAAGAAATTGGATATGAAACGATTGATTTGAATGAATTAGAAGAGGAAAATAGTATCTCAAAAGAAGCCAAAAGTTTTGAGAATGTAACAAACAAAACAATTGCTTGCCAACTTGCCCACCTACTACATAACTAAAATGCATCATCATGATCATGATCATGTGCATTTCACTGTCAAAATGGGATCATTTTTTTTCCATATGTCAAAACAGATCAAATAGGTTGACAATTCAGTCTTTTTTTTTTTTTTTGGCTTTTGAGGAATCCAACCCAACACAATATAATTGGATAAAGTAATTGATATATTTGTTTAAGGAATTTGGATAATCTTTGTGAACATTTAGTCATCATCAATAAACCATACTTAATTTTTATTCTAATCTTCTTTGACGGTCCTCTGTAGAGTAAATTACTTCATTGTCCTCAGTTATTCTTCCTCATTCCATCTCCTCTAGTACAAACCTCTGATCTTGAGGGAAATAGTATATTATTAATTACCGTTGAGATACAATCGTAAGCGCATTCATAGATATTAAATGTATGCCATATTTGAAGAAATTAAAAGATTTTTTAAATTAAAATTAAATCTAAGGAATGCAACTGTAATTTGTCCATATTTCTGTGCAATTCGTGACTTTAAATATGACAACTTCCATTAGTTATTCTTAAAAATAGACCACTTGGGGTCAAATCCAGAAAAAAGTAAATAAATTTTATAAAATACTTAACCAAATATTTGAACTGCTTTGTTTTTTCCCTAAAAGATAGAAAATTAATTTTAAAAACAACTTTCAGCCCCTTAATTAGTACAGTTATTTAAAAAAAAAAAACACTTATAAAGGCACTTTTTGGGGTGGAACTTTATTTTAATATGCTCCTTCCCAAATAATTCCAAACATGTTAAATGTACAATATTTGTTATTCTTATTATTATTTACTAATTTTTTCCTTTTATTTTGTAATGTTGAAACCACACATCATCTGATAGAGAGAGTTTGTTCATTTTTGCCTTATTTTCTTGTTAGATAGTTAGAAAGTATCTTATAATTTTTTGGTGGTCAAAAAGTTTTATTTATTTATTTTATACGCTCAAATTGACGAAAAAGTTTAAATTATAGGATTAGTCCATCTAAGTTAAAACTTATATCCTCCCCAAAAAGTCGAAAATTTGATACCACCACTTGTTGAACTAAAAAAAAAAGGAACATGACTTTATTGAGGATAGGATTGAAACTTGATGTATAGGTTCAACGTGGAAGTCAAATATAAATTTATTCAACCGCTACAAGATCAACAATTCCATGAGCTTGGGCTTCAGCTTGAGAAACGACTACCACATCTAAGGAAGGTAGTAGGCGTGCAAATTACCCAATCCTGATATGTAGTGATAGTGATAATAAATAGTAATACTAAGCTGTTCGCGTCTGGTAATTGGAAAAAGGAGGATCTAAATTCCTTCTATATCATCAATAAAAATTGAGATAATAATTTGTTAATTACTGCATAATAAAAAATAATAATTATCAAACAAACTTTAATGACTTAGAAAATTAGAAAATAGAAAATGTAGAAATGATTGTGGGGAGTAGATAAAGCTTTAAAAGAGGGCAAGTTGGGCATAATTTCCGAAGATCTTGCACAGTGACAGGCCTAACATTATAACAATAATTAAAAAAAGTGGATTTTTCTTAAAAAGAAAAAAAGGTGGAAACTTAATTAAATTAATTAAAAAGATAGAGAATAGATTTGGTTTTATAATGATCCACTCTCAGTTTGTGCAGAAAAAGTTGATGGTTTTTTTATGGGGTCAGCCAAAGCATCCTCATGGTTTTCAAATTTCAATGATGGACCTAAAAAGAGGACCAAAATAAAAAAAGGGAAAAAAATATATATATTAAAACAATTCCAAGTAGAAGCCACTCTCCTTGACCTTTGGTGGGTGGTGGCTATGTTCAACCTATAAACCATTAGAGGGAAAAACAATCTCTTCTGTGGTTGAATCCTCACCTTATACTTTATGTGTGTTTTTGTGAGGTGATATTACAACTTTAACCCTTAAATTTTAAGAGGGTGTGATATGTGACGGGTTCTGAAATCTTAAAAAATGTCTAATAGATTATCTCTGATAGGTTAATGAATTTGTCTATTAGATTAATGAACTTTCAATTTTATATCAATAGGTCCCTAACCTATTCAACTATTTTTTAAAAATTCGTTGTTGATGCAGGATTTTGGTTCTGGTTCAGGTTTACGGCGTACACCTGCACACAAAGAGATCTGCACATTGATATGGTGCTAAGCCCAACAACTCGGATACCTAAGTTAGCACAGAGTTTCGTTAAGATAAGTAAGTGCAGGGTTGTGAGAGCGTACCTCGAGTCAAAAGTCTCTCGTCTTATTTATAGAGAGAGTCTCCTTCAGTTGGGTCGGTTAGATCGGCTCGACCGGATTTAATCGCCTCGTTTGTGGGTTTGAGTTTGCTCGGGTGGTTCGGTGATCTCGTATGGATCTGGTCGGGTTGGGCGTTCACCTTAACCCTTGGACTCGTATCGCTTTTGTGGTCCCCACCTCATATATAATTTCACTCATAACATTCATAACTAATAAACTTTGGGGTTAATAGGTCTTGAATTTTTAAAAAATATCTGCCAAAGACTCACTAGAATTTGATTTGATTGTCTTTCTTGAACTTTAAGTTTCATGTAAGTTTGGTCCATGCGCTTGAAGGGGATGTTGAACTCCCAATTTTAATTAGTTTGAATTTGTGAAGTTTGTGTTTGCATTTGATTCTTAAATACTAAGATAAACCTTTATCGGCTTGTTGAAATTACCTCTCTACAACAGTAATTTGGCAACCTCATTGTCTAGATACAAGGGAAAAACAAATATTCTGTGGAAGAATTCACACCTTATAAATGTGTATTTTTATTAAAATATGGTAATTGTTGAAAGAGAAATTTCGGCTAATCACTAAACGCCACGTCACAAAATGTTAGGCCTGTCACTGTGAAGTTCTTTGGTTTTGCAGATTGTGAAATGCTTCGGCTTTGCGCTGCTTGTTGAAGTTCTTTAGTCAGTTTGATGAAGACTTTGCAGTTTGATGGAGTCTTCAAATATTGTTGCTTGGGAGAGAATATTCAATGTTCTTGAAGTCTCGTACTCTTCAAGTCTTTAATTCTTCAAATCTTGTTGGCTTTGGATGCTTCACTTGACTCCGAAGGATCGTAGACGATTATGAGTGCTCTTAATCTCCAATTCTTCTAGACCTCTTCCAATTCTTCTTCCTCTTGGCTTCTTTTTCCTTTCTTCTGGCTCTTCTTCTTTCTTCTTGCTCTCCCTAGATCCTATATCTATCTATATGAAGAAGAAATCATGTAACGAAGGGGGTTCTTATTTGTACAAATGGTACTTCGAACTTGGAACGAGCATGAAGAAATTAACGATACTTCTTTATCTTTTGAGTTGTTCTGCCGGATCGGTCGTTCAAGACCTTTGGTCTCTACCCGGACCCGATGAAAAAAATGGGATCACTTCTTATGGACTCGTTGAGAATGATTCTGATCTAGTTCATGGCCTATTAGAAGTAGAAGGCGCTCTGTTGGGATCCTCACGGACAGAAAAAGATTGCAGTCGATTTGATAATGATCGAGTGACATTGCTTCTTCGGCCCGAACCCAGGAATCCCTTAGATATGATACAAAATGGATCTTTATAGAGTTTTGGTGGGTCTTATATGGGCCATGGGCTTAATGGGCCATCCGCTTGAGCCTAGTCTCTCCATGGGTTTGGATCCAATTAGTTGATTTGATCGGACGACCATAAGAGAGACACGTGACACAATTTGATTTCTTGATTTAAAAATCAATTTAAGACACGTGTAAATTTGTGATTGGTCCTAAATATAATTTTAATTTTGTGACGTGACATTTAGGGATTAGCCGAAATTTCTCCGTCAACAGTAATTTTAGTATTTTTTTTACTTTTAAGAGAGATATTTTTTCACTTACGGTTTTAATAAAACTTGAATTTATAACGTTTAAACTTGTGTAATATGTATTTAGACCCAAGAAATGAATTAGAGAAAATTTTGGATTAGTGTAACTCGTGTTGTGATGAATATAAAAAAAAGTGTTATTAATTGACAACCTCATGGTCCACGTGGCAAAAATAATCATTTTTTTTGTAGAATAATTGACCCGTTATTATTTGGGGGAAGAATTCGCACTTTATTTTACGTGTATTTATTGAAATATATTTTGATTATCTTTCTAATACTTATGGCTTAAGTTTAGTGTCAACATTGCTTCAGAAAAAAAAAAAATAAAAAATTGCTTCCAAAAATTTGTGTAACTTTGTATTTCTAATCTGTAGGTTTATGATTTTGATCCTTTTTTAATTTGTGCATCTCATCTATATGATTTATGAAGGCTTAAATTACAAGTTTAATACTTTAGTTTTTAAGTAATCCATGAATTTCAAAAAATGTTTAATTTTATATTTTGTGTTTTTCTATTTCCAAAACACTTTTCATCCCGAGTTTAATAATTTTTTTTAGTCCTAATCTCGATCAATTCGAGTAGATATAATCTAGTTGTATTAGATAACAATGTGTAATCAATTTTTAAACAAATAGATCTTGATGCAACCAATTCTTTTATATAAACAAATTTATAGTACATCACTCAATGATTTAAGTATGTTTAATGTAAATTAGTTACTAAATATGTATAAGATGTTTGTCACTGCCTAACTATTTTTAATTTAAATCATTCAATAAGTATACTACAACATCAATCAAACTAGTTTACTAATACATCAAACATTAATCAAATGTCATCAATCGATTTAAAGACGTTTATTTTTTACCATTTTTTAAAAATATGAGTATTTTTACTATCCTATAGTCAATTATGAAGAAGTGACACAAGCCTAGGAAATTCAAAAAAAAAAATGACATAAATGTAATATCGACGATATCAATAATTGTGGTTGTGATAATTAAGCTGATTAAATTTCCTTCTACAGTTATATTAGTATAATTAATGTGTCACATCAATCTTTTAACTTTCAAAAATTAGGGCAAAATTTTAGTTCAAGAACCTAAATTTGATAGATTGATGTCAAACATCTCTATTAGTTTTTAATGTTTTTTTCTAAATCTTAAGATATAAGTAAAAAGTATATTGTAAGACAAACAAATTTGGGAGTAAATCAACTTAATTTTTTTAAAATAATTGATTACCAAACTACTCCCAAAACTTTTCAATTTGTCCTCTAATGTTTTGTCTTCTTTTCATATAATTATCTCCTTTTTCCACTGCTTTTGATACTTAAAAAGAAACTCTCTAATCAATTAAATTTTATCCATCACACTTACATAGATAGAGATTTCTTTTCTTTTTTTAAGTCTCAATCAATTTGACTAGATGTTAGATAATAATGTGCAAGTATTTTAAAATTGATACATCCCTATGCAACCGATGATTTTTTGAGATTAACAAATTTATAATTTAAAAGTTCAGTAAATACCAATACTAATTATAGATTTAATTTCTTAAGTTTAGATTAATTCTAAGTAGGTGTATTAAATGTAGTTAGAGGTGTCAATCACTCTCATATGTTTAAATTAAACTACTTTATCTATGATCTTGAAGGTTTTCGCTCATTGATATGTTTTGTGTGTAATTTTTTCTTCTTTTAGTACAACATGTGTGATGAAGATTCGAACTCAAGACTTTTAATCGATAAGAATCTTAATTAGTTGAACTATGTTTAGGTTGACGTTTAATGGGTAAATCAATTACTAAATATATAATGAATATTAGTCACAAATAACTAGCTGAGTTTATTAATTGTAAGTAAGTGTTGTCAGTGCAAATATAGCTCAATAGATAGAATACCCACTGCTTTGATCT